GACAATTTTTGCCGAAGCGCCGGGGTACCGTTTCGTTTTTTTTTTGGCTACCCTGAAGCCCGCGTTAACCGGGAAACACCGCGGCCGATGGCTGGGCCAAGTACTGGTGGTTTGCCCGTACTGTGCATACTTACACAGTGGTGGTGACATAGCAGTAGCAAAATCTGCAAAATTTTGCTATCCTGATTTTGCTGAAATGCCATCCATCCAGTCACATAGTGGTAGCAAATCACAAAAGACATGCGGGGGACTCTCTGACAACCGCCAAAATGATGCCCCCCGCGTGTGGTCGCACAGCGCGAGGTCCAAATTCGTCAACTTTTTCTTTTTCTTGCACGTCCAACAAAATCCATTTTGAATTTCCTTTCATGAAATCTCGAACCGGAAAATAAAATTGCTACGACTTCCAGAGGTGGTAGCAAAATGCCCTTCCCCGCGGCCCACCAGGCCACTGACATTTGATACCCCGTTGTTTTGCTACTTTCGCTACTTTCCGTGCCCGGTGCGACTGGCCCAACCGATTGCGTTTAGCAGTTTTGCCATAAAAGGCCCTAGTGCGAGTAGGCCCTACTTTATGAACACAGGAGTGCCCAAAAATCCCTTCCAGAGTGCTCATCGCCACACACACTCGTCTCTCAGGCCCGGTACTCGCTAGCCCGCCGCCCTTGTCCCTTAGTGTGAAGGACTCGTCAATTTGTGGGCCAGAAGCATTTCCAGCCTTGACTTGGGGCATCACCATACCACTCACGGAGTGTGAAAAAGACCAAAGCTATGGCGGGTGAATGGGCCTCGCTCCACTACTGTCCACTGTACGAAAATGGACAGTGGGACGTCGCTCCATTTACTGTCCATTATCGGCATGCAAAATGGCTTGGGCATTTGTCAGAAATGCCGTGGAAAATTGACTGTCCATTTTTGTATAGCGCCCAGCCTGCACAGGTACTTTCGTGGGCGGTCCTTGTAGGAACCCACGGAGGGTACCCTCCGCCTTTTGGACAGCAAACCCAATATGTTATACTCAAGAAGATGTACATCATTTATAATTTCCATTTGCTTATCCTTGACAGTAATGGCTATTTACTTAAGAGTCTGGGTGTACAAAATGCTACCGAGGCTGTGTCTTGTAGTGCTGCGCTGCGCTGGTGTCTCGTAGTGAACTCGCGAGTTGGGGAGCTGTATAGTGGACAGTTAGTGGAGCGATGCCGGTTTTGGAAGAAGGTTTTGTAGAACTCCAAGATACAACTGTACAATTTTTTTACGTAGCAGACAGTTCTGGACAGGGGCCCTATATTTCCATGCTGTTCGTTTGTTTTAGTGTCATCTTATATCCACTAATGAATCAAATCAATGTGGAAAAGAAGTCGCCCATCCGCCTTCTGCTCTGTGTGAATGACATTCATGCTTGTTCGCAAGCAAGCCGCTTTCTCTGACGGAGACTCTAATCATTATATGCGCAATGTGCATCCCCGGACTGCGAATTCGGGGCTGTGCTTTGTCCAGGTACACAAATCAGCAAACAAGCAGAAATATACACACAACCACTACCGGCACAAGAACTCTACATGCCGCGAGAGATCTCTCCGCGGCTACCCGCAGAGTCACTAACAAGCAAAGAGAAAAAGCTCTCTCCACGTCTAACAGCACACATCCTAGTATCTCCGGTGTGATTTGATTCTGAATGAAGCAAAATCGAGGCCTCACTTTACAAATCTCCATCTGGCCACTGATTTTGATATTTTGCAATTTTGAGGGCCTAGTGTGAGTATGCTCACTAGGCCCTCAAAATTGCAAAATAGCAAAATCAGTGACCAGATGGAGTCCTCGTAAAGTGAGGCCTCGATCCAGCCGCTGATTTTGCTACTTTGCCATTTTGAGGGCCTAGTGTGAGTATGCTCACTAGGCCCTCAAAATTGCAAAATAGCAAAATCAGTGACCAGATGGAGTCCTCGTAAAGTGAGGCCTCGATCCAGCCGCTGATTTTGCTACTTTGCCATTTTGAGGGCCTAGTGTGAGTATACCAACTCCCAACAACTACATTTTGCTACTTTTCTCTTACAGCCCCATGAGAAGAAGGACCATCCTTTTCGAAAGTTCCCTAGCCGACAGGGTAACCCCCACTTTCGTCGCCTACAGCACCGACAAAACGTGTTGGTGTCGACCGGGCTGATGTATCCCGCTTTCCTCACACCACTGTTGGGCTCACTGACCAATGGTCGAAAACCGTTGGGCTCACTGATAATGGTAAAAAACCGACTGCTTTTCACCTTACCATCCGCAGCGGCTGCCCTGTCGAGTTCTGGCCCCCCACAGGCGGGCGGAATTGGACCATTTCTGGATTTATGCGTGTCATCCTTGAAAGTGCAGAGGCCATGCTAATCTTCTCTTTCTCTGTATCGTGTCCCGACAGGCACGTAGAAATTGAGTAGAGCACCGTAGAAACGCTGTTTCTGACAGGTGTCTTTTTTTTTTTTTTTTTTTTTTTTTTAGGAAGTGGCAGGTGTCATCTCTACAGCCTGTGTGGCGAAGCGAGAGACTGTAAAAAATGCGGTTTTCGACAGTGGTGTGGCGAGGCCCATAGGCCCATAGGGCATTGCTCCACTACTCTCCACATGCACAAACAACAACATCATGGCAGTGTATCTGTCCACGTTGTAGCGGAAGATACATACAATGCTGTCCTCCGTGGCATATACATACAATTCATCTGGATGGAGGGGCGGACGGAGGGGCGGACGGAGGGGCTGAACCTGTCGACAGTGGTGTGGCGAGGCCCAAAGGCCCACAGGGCATCGCGCCACAACTCTCCACATGCACAGAAAAACAAAAATATGGCGGTGTATCTCTCCATGTTCTAGCGGAAGATTCATTCTCATTTTGCACATTTGGAGAGCAGTGGAGCCAAATCTCCCCCCCCGCCGTCTTCCTTTTTTGAAAGCTGAATACATCCAATACATCCTAGAAAAGGACAAGTCTGAGATGTGCGTACCCTGCAGCCCAGGAATTCAAAAATACCTGACCCACTACACAGCTTGGATGAGTTTTTTACCTACTATTATATTGGATTGGAATGGCGATTAGTAGTGTGTTGTTTCTTTCTTTCTTTTTTTTTTTTTTTTTTTTTTTTTTTGGCAAAATAGGGACTATTCGTGCTCACCTACTTCACTCTGGTTACTGGATGTTTTGGGGGAAAACCTACTTGGGGAACCTTAACACTTCGGTATTAATTAACTGCTATTTAGGTGGCATTTTTAGGTGGCACTACTTTTTCTCTTCTTTTCTGCAGATGTAGCTTGCAAACTACTACCGGTAGGTTTTCGCAGAACAACATCCCTGCTTGAAACAGCTAACATCAAAGTACGTATTTGACTCTATATATCGTCAAATAGAACTGTCCGGTAAACCGTAGGCAGAGAGGGAGAAGAGGACAACAAACGAGGGGCTGTGAGACTCTATATATATATATATGGGCGGCCTTGTCCGCAAGAGGAGGTTCTGAACAGGGGGAGTTGTAAGGAAGAGGATAAAAAAACGAATTCATTTTTTCCTTTTTCCATCTGATATTCTTGTGACAATATATATCGTCACAAACAGAACTGCCCGGTAAAACCGTAGGCAGAGAGAGAGAAGACAACAAACGAGGGGCTGTGACAAACTGTTTCGTCGGAGTTTCACCGACTCATCAGGAGGCTGAACCCTCAACAGTCTGCAGAATCCCCTCACTGATTACACTGTAAATGATAATCTACCTTAACCAAAATCNAAAACTCTACAGACTGTCGGTTCACACCCCATCACAAGCAACAACCAAGCAAAACATCCACGAAACAAAGAAAGGTCTGTCACAGCCAAAAAATACACTCCAGATATATATATATAAATATATATATATATTATATATCGTCACAAACATATATATATATATCGTCAATATATATATATGACGATAAACCGAGCTGTATATATATAGCCCCTCGTTTGTTGTCCTCTTCTCCCTCTCTGCCTCTGTTCGACAATATATATAGTTGAACAGAGCTGCCCGGTAAACCGTAGCCAGAGAGGGAGAAGGACAACAAATAAGGGGCTGTAACAATATCTATATATATGTATAATCAAACCGAGCTGTGTATATATAGACATCTATATAGTCGAACAGAGCTGCCCGGTAAACCGTAGGCAGAGAGGGAGGGAGAAGAGGACAACGAACGAGGGGCTGTGACAAACTGTTTCGTCGGAGTTTCTCGCATTCATCAGGAGGCTGAACCGCTGAACCCTATACGTATAGGGCATGATGGCCAGTAAAGTCGCTCACATGGAAGAGAGAGAGAGAGACGGACACACACAAACAGACAGAGAGAGAGAAAGAAAGAGAGAGAGAAAAAAAGAGAGAGAGAGAGAGAGAGAGAGAGAGAGAGAGAGAGAGAGAGAGAGAGAGAGAGAGAGAGAGAGAGAGAGAATCTCATTCCAGGAATTTTTATTTCCCCCCCCCCTATCCGGGAACCATGCCCGGTGCCCCTTATATTACAATGCCAGGAATCGGGCCTGGCATCCCTCACAAAAGTTTTGTGGTCCTGTTTAAGGGCCAGACATCATCGGTCAACCCCAAAGACAGGACCACCACACACACACACCATGAGTCAGATCCCCACGTCGAAGACAGAGTCAGAAGAAGAAAAAAAACAGAAGTATCAGCGAACACAGCGTTGTCTTTGTGATTTTGATGTCCCCTCAGTCATCCAAGGTTATTTCCTTGAAAATGTACCCTTTGGCTTTACAGGGGAGGGGGAATAAAAAAAAATTATCCTCCCTGCAAATCATTAATAGAGGTCTTTGCAGAAAAAAAAGCCAAAACCGAATGTACATTTGTCCCTTCGACAAATCTTTTTTTTTTTTTTTTAATCAGGGCCCAATGCCCAAGGCAATCTTCGGCAAATCAACATTAATACACACATATATACATATATGTACATTTATACATATATGCATGTCGAACATATATATATATCGCGTTTACCAAGCGGCTCTGTTTGACGATATATATATATATCCCAAACAGATATATGATATATATATACACCAAATCGTATTGCCTTATGCTCATCACAACCCATCTGTGAGAAAAACGGGCAGTCAGCAAAAAAAAAACAAAAAAAAAAACAGGGCAGTCGGCCGTAAAAGACCCACCTCTCCCATCAGTTCAGTCCCCCTCCTCGGTAAGCCAGCCAATTAACGACAAGAATCACCCATATGCCCGAAGGCAGACTGATTGCCTGTCCTGTCGACATCTCATCCTCTGTCTCTGTCTGTCTATATCTGCCTCTCCCCCTCCCTCCCTCCCTCCCTCCCTCCCTCCCTCCCCCCTTCCCTCCCTCTGATGAGCGGGTTCATCTTCTCCAAAGCCAGAAAGACAGCTCACTCAAACTGATCCCGCCATCTCCTAAACTCAAAAATACTAAGTCCCTAGCAGTCACAGACTTCGGCCCCGCCTCCTCCCCCCCCCGCTTCGAAAATCAAGGGCTCCCCTAAACCCCCAAAAAATGAACTCCCTAGCACCCACAGACTCGGTCTCTTGCGAAAATCAAGGACTCCCCTAAACCCCAAAAAAGTGAAGTCCCTAGCATCTTCTCTTGACTGCTCTTCCTCCCCTTGCAAATCGATAATCTCTCTCTCGTGGAAGATTTGTCCGTCCGCAAACTCAGTCCATTGATCTCTCTCTCTCTCTCTCTCTCTCTCTGTGTGTGTGTGTCTGTGTGCGAGAATCGATCACCTCTCTCTCGTTGAAGAGCAAGTCCAGAGCCCCGCGTGGACCCCCCACAGAGCGACACGTGGCGCCGCTAACAATGTCGCACGAAAACTTGGAGCCAGTCTTGTCTGGAGTGCGCATGCATCGTGTCATATTACCGGCTTAATTCAGTTCAAGCAAGCTGAGGCCTTGTAAAAATTTCCTGATCTGGAATCCTGATGACGAAGGGCCTCGCTCCACTCTTATCGACATGCACAAAAGACAAAAGTACGGCGGTACCTTTCCACGGTCAACAGGAAGATTCACTCTCAATTTTGCACATTTTGCAATTTCGCCCTAGTAGTAATCCGTCTGAAGTTTAAAACACATTCTGCTTGTATTTCTATTTCTGTCCAATTTTACATACATACATCCAAGCACGTACTTGGCCGTCAGAGCGACCAGGTTCATACTTCCCTCCTACCCTGCTACAACTCAATGTACATAGCACCTGGCCACATATTCAAGAGGCCAACGACTCCCCCCCCTACACACACACACACACACACAGGTCTCTTATACACATCTAGCAGAGCGACCAGGTTCATACTTCCCTCCTACCCTGCTACAACTCAATGTACATAGCACCTGGCCACATATTCAAGAGGCCAACGACTCCCCCCCCTACACACACACACACACACCTGTCTCTTATACACATCTAGATGTGTATAAGACCCCCGAATAGAACGNCCCGAATAGAACGTGCAATCGTTATCGCTGTATGTACCCCGAAAGTTGTATCAAATACAGCTGTAATGACCGGGCGCTCTATTCGGGTGAAGAGGGTAGGGCACAATTTCTCGGGCATGCCAATCCCACCTTGCCCCCTCCTTTGATGAAGGCCAAAAGACGAAAGGGTTACTACTACCGTCTTCCCCCGAATAGAACGCGCGGTCATTATCGCTGTATCTAGACTGAAAGTTCTCCCAAATACAACCAGAATAATGACCATACGTTCTATTCGGTGGAAGACGGCGGGTGTTTCCGTCTGAGATCACGATGACAATCTCTCCTCCTCCTCCTCTTCCTCCTCCTGCTCCACTTCCTTCTCCTCGTGCTGCTCCTCCTACTACTCCTGCTACTCGCTCCTTCTCCTCGTGCTGCTCCTCCTACTACTCCTGCTACTCGCTCCTTCTCCTCCTCCTCCTCCTCCCACTCCCGCGTTTGTCTTCTTCCGCCGCTTGCCACAGCACAGTCGATCGTGCGTCTGTGATTAGTGAATGAGATCTGCTATATCGATTGATCTTCCTTCATATTTCCTGATGAACGGGTGATTCAACAGCTCGGGGGAAGACGCGCGCTGGCGGGGGTTCTTGCGCAGGCAGCAATTGATGAAGGAGCGGAACTCGGGTGAAAAAGAGGGGTCCGAAGCGGGGAGAGAGGGAGGTGGTTCTCTCGCGACAGTCTGCAGAAGATCGAAGAAGTTGTTCCAACCAGATTCGCCCGGAGGAGGAGGGTAGGGGAATCTCCCAATAGCACACTCCATCAACGACAGACCGACGCTCCACACGTCGCATTTATACCTGTCACAAGATTCAAGCCCAAAACAGAGAAAAAAGACAAAAAGATCAGCATACAAGCATATAGCACATATTCAATTCCTTCCCCTCCCTTTTCAATTTAACCATATTATTATACCCATGCTATCCCACTACTACCGAACAAAGCCCAATTCAATCCCCATTCCAATCCATTGCAATCAACCAATCAATCAATTACGATGCGACGAATCACTCACTTACATCCATCATCAGTCAGTTGATTTATGGCCTTGTCATCCAGTGATTTATGGACCAATCAGTTCGATCCATCATTCAATCAATCAATGACAAGGCCATAAATCACTGGATGAAATTCAATCAGATCAACCACATCGGTCCATCAATCAATCAATTACAAGGCTATTATAAATCACTCGTTGATATCCAATCAGATCAACCTCATAAGCCAATCAATCAATCACTCACTCACTCACTCAATCAATCAATCAATCAATCATTAATCCACCAGTTCATACGAAGCGAAGGAGCTCCCTCGATATTTGCTATTACACACACAAA